CAGCTGAACTGCAGTTTCGACCTTGCCTCATTCTCTCGTCACTAGCTACGGGGGTATTTAAAACTGTCGAATGGCAAACTTGCCACTTTACCATAAAACCATAAGTACCAATGGGTCACAGGACGGATGTGGCTTTTAAGACGAGCCAGGCCTCTCACAATTCAAGTTTATAGTTGAAAGTGAATCTATAGGGCAAAAAATTATTTACCATTATGATCAACAACACTACTATTAACTGAATGAGTAGAGTTGAAGACTATGGTTCCAGCCAGAATTCCACCTCTGTCGGGCGAAAGCACAGTTTCTCACGAGCTTCTTATGCAAAGCAGGACTGTTTTTCACACTCGAATGTGACGATCAGTCCAAGCCGAGTGCAGAATTGTAAATAAATGCAAAGTCAAAACATTTTGGTTAGCGACCTCAGCAAAAGCTTGTCAGATGTCAATAAAAAGTCAGACCACTGCCCACGCACACTCACTAAACCTCCTTAAGCACGTACACATACAAACATACACACAGGTGCTACCCGGTACCCAGAAGAAGCCGGAATAGCTAAGGCTAAGGAATGCGCAACCATCACGAGGGTTCAGAGCACGGCAACTAGATGCTAAAGGCCGGACCGCCAGACCGTTTACCCAAGCTCTGAGCCATTAAAGTGGTATTTTCAGACCAGGCGCAGGTGCAAGTATGTTGTGCCTGAAAATCATCGAGACCGACGATCGGAAGCCAGGCCTGAACTCCAGCGGGCTGTTCATCAATGGTCAGGTGAGGGGGCACAGGAAACTATCTGCGAGTCGTGAAGGCTTTCAGGTTGGGAGACATGAGACTCTAAGACTCGTCTCTATCTCCACGTGACTAGTTTAATTGTGCCAAGTGGGCGTCGCACACCATAGATTTAGGTATGCAAATGATTAACTGGTCTTGTTGTCAGACACTCTCATCTGTATTACCGTTACCGAATCTGAGAAAGGAAGAGTCTTCACGATTGACGTCAATTGGCCGTAGTTACGCCAACCTACAACCATTCCACACACCAGCAATTGAACAGAAGGCCTGATTTCTTGCTGATCTTGCAGGGCAACTCTCCGTCTCCGGCCGGACTGCAGGTTCAACCTCGTCTTGCTGCCCCATCAACACCGTCAGCGAGACTCGAGCCATGAGTTTGAGGGTGATGACAAGTGATAGAAAGGAGAAATTGCACCCCAGGCTACATTTCGCCAGATAGGTCCCTCTAACCTCATTAACTTCATAGGGCCTATTTTAGGGAGAAGATAAATTGTTGTAGCATCTTGACGAGCCGTGGAAACCTCAACTTGTTTATTTGTGGGACGAACCATCATTATCTCTTATCGCAATAACAACTAGTGTGTATTCTGCCGACAATCCGAGTCCACATGATTGCGGCCAACTAAAAGTTCAGACAAATCTAGCATCGAGACAAACACGCTTCATAAGAAACATAAATCACCTAAAAATCTAACCTTCATAGGTTCTATTTGTGCCTTGAAACTCTGCTTCTATACGAAAAAGTGAAAATTAGGGACCAAGATTTACTAACTATGCTGCATAGTTTGACTCTTGCTCCAATACCAATGAAGAATTGGAGAAGGAAGACAGGGATGACAAGACGTCTAGGCAAGAAGAAAGAGGATAAAAGTAAAATAAGAAATCCGAGGAAGAAAAATAAATACAGAAGGAGGATTTTGATGAGGGAAGAGGATAAAATGGAATGATATACAATAAAAAAAGAAAAGAAAATATAGGAGGAGAATGAATAAGATTAAGAAGAAGGAGAAGGAAGAGGAAAAGAAGGAGGCAAAGGATGCAAAATGTTTGCGATAAGGAAAACCACGAGGAAGAGAAAAAAGAGGATAAAATCGGATGATTTTT